TGACAATATAATTTGTTACTAAAAAATTTCAAAAATATTCAAATATTAGAGAAAGGAGTTATTGGCTCAAATTAAACAAATCTGATAAGGTACAGCCAAAGTAGCTACAGGTTTCCATGGAGTAAAAAATACCAGGTTTGACCAAAATTTATTACCGGTAAGGTAACAAGTCATTGTCAATGATATAGTCCCTGCCCAGTTTTTAGCGGCTGTGACAAATAATACTACTTTAAAAAGCACCATATACAGGTTTTTTTTAGTCAAATTGGCACCTCCAATGAGCTGCTTCTCATATCCCACATATAAAATAGCATAATCCCCACATTAATCAGTTGGACATTTTGAATTAAATCACCAAATATTATGCATGTTTTGATTTGATTAAATTGTAATCCAAGCACGCCTAAGAAACAGTGTTGATGACAAAAATAGCCACCAGTGGGTCATCAAATCAAAATCAAACATGCATATACATATTTATATCATTAGCTCTTGGATGACTGATTTTGTTGAAAGTTGGTACTAGAAAAGTGTTAATGATATGCATATCTATGTTTAATGCACATTGAAAAGGAACTAAAACACTAATCTTCATTTGAATTGAACACTTGGTGGCGCTATACTATTTCAAGGTATGCTGTTTTATCTACCACAACAAGCCCTTATGTATGATGAAGAAAAGGTATCTCTCTTTTCACCAGTATAATACATTTCTAATTAAAATGTTTTGCCAAAAATAAAAGGTACTGTAAAAGGGTTAATTATTTACTGGGTTTTAATTTAGCTTATTTTGCTGACTGGAAAATGCGCTAAATTAGAACCCAGTGAATATGTAAAATTTAGCATAAAACACATTAACTAAATTATAAAACCGTGAATTTAAAACCTACTGAATATGCCTGAAATGATAAATCAGCGAAATTTAAACCCATTGACAATTAGTCATTTTAAAGTATTTCATATCACCCAGACATCCCACATTAATACACATTGTCTAAGATGTATGGTGGATAACTTTTAATTTGTTCAGAATGGTCGGTGTGTTATTAATAACACATTGATCACTGAATAATTGACCACTGAATATATTTTATAATATAAAAATGAAAATAAAAATGTGGCCATAATGATAAAATAATAAAAAAATGCTAACAAAATTAAAAAATAATGTGAACATAATGATAAAATAATATAAAAATGTTAACACAATGATGGAATAATGTAAAAATGCTAACAAAATGAAATCAAAGAAAGCTTAGAAAGAACTCCCATGTGCTGAGAGTATTGGAGACACATTAAAAATAATTTGAAATTACTTAGCTGAAAACTAATTATGCAAATCAGAAAATTAACATGAACAGATTTGATTGTAAAACTAATGAGGTCTGCGCAATGTAACAAAAACTCTATGTACCAAGTTTAAT